TTTCTGTTTCATACAATGAAGAGATGAGAATATGTTTGGGCAGTTCATTTTGTCCGTAAACAACATGACAATGGACAAGAAAGATCGATTTGACGGTTTGTGACATACTAAATCAACTAAATTCTGTTGCAATATATCGCGAAGTGCCATCCGCTGTTCATTTCAGAGTAATCATGTTTGTGCAAAGAAAAATATTTTTCATTGCAAATATATGTCACTGGTACTCCTATCATTAAAGCTCAGTTCTCGTATTTGTGCAATCGTTGATATTGTTTGGAAATGAGAAAACCTCAAAAACATTTATACAACTGATTTCGATGCCTTGATGAAGTCTAAAATTATTGACAAAACAGTCATATTAGAACATTTAAATAGCTTGGTACAGCTAATTACATTATGAAGCTCTATCTTTAGGGCCGCTACCGCTATAGCATGAACAGGTCTTTGACTAATAGAATTTCATTGACTCTCTACAAAACGTAGGAAAGGCAAAGTTGAGAAATTTAGCTTAAGCAAGCGGAGAGTTGTCATTGGATTATTGATCAAGTGTCACATACCTTGCATAGCCCCGAATCCACGGAAAGCAGTGTTGGAAGCGAGATTTGTTTTACAACAGCGCCCAGATGACCTCCAACACGGAATAAAATAAGAATTTTCGCAATTCATTACAGCTCTTTGAAGGACCAATAAAGACATATCGACGCTCCAGCCAGCGTTTGAATACAAATCTACGTTTGCTGCTAAAATGTGCCCATCCTTGTTGAAACCAATTTTGTATTTGCTCAAAAATGGATGGCGACCCCCCGTCATCATCATATCCTCGTTTCTGTCAAGCATGATTCGCACTGGTTTACCAACCTGGAAAAGAGGAGATTTATAGATATTACAGTGAATTTGTGAGCAGGTAATGAGATACACTTATGATGGCAAAATAGCAAAGATACTGGCAATATAAATCTTGCGAATAAAGATACTGCAGGAGATACCACTAAATTGACTATTTCAATATGAACGGCTGGGAAGGTGTAACAACAAAAGAATCTGGTTCAAAATAAGGTCAGTTATCTGATCAACAACTAAAGTCACGTGCAAATGGTTAGTGAATTAATTACGAGACTAATGTTCATTAAACAAGCAATAACTAAATAAAGTGAAGAAAATGTTCATTGTGACACAGAAAAACGTCTTACCTTGCAAGCAAAAGTCATTATGTACCAAATGAAGATAATATTCACGCTAAATGGATGCAGGGTCATTTATTGTCAGGTCATATCTTGATTCAGTTAACTGAGTTCTTCATTACTAATCCTGATATGTAGCTTTAAGCAAGTGGTAACCTGACACTCTTACAAGAATTCTCATTTCTTAAAAGTGGAATTCTTAATGAGATTGTGCTCCAAAGTCTAATTACTATGGCTGAGATGAAATAATGAGCTTCTCGGTTTCTGATTCCTAAAGCATCAAAGAAAAATTGATAGAAAAGTCTCACCTTACAAGCAACAACAGCAACAGCAGCAGCTATGATAGGTGCCTTTGTCTCCTTGCCACCGAAACCACCTCCGAGTCTTTTGGTCTTGCAAACGATGCGGTTGTAATCCAGACCAAGCGCGTTCCCAACGGCATTCTGTGTATCAGCTGGGGACTGGGTTGCAGAATAAATTATGATTTCGTCATTCTCATTCAAAGGAAATACAATGCATGATTGTGTCTCAAGATAAAAATGCTCCTGCGCCCCAGTTCTCATTGTCCCTTCTATGATGTGGTCGCATTTATCAAATCCCTCTTGTACGTTTCCTCGCTTCAACTCAATCAAGTCACCATAATACGAATTAGCCGCAATTGCCTGTTCTATTGTGACGATTGCAGGCAGTTCTTCATAAGAAACTTTTACTTTGTTTGCAGCCCTTCTTGCAATGTTTTTGTCAGTTGCAACAACAGCACCAATCACTTGCCCAACAAAGTGCACGACTTCGGATGCAAACAATTCTTCATCATTCGAAAAATCAGGAATACCAGTTAAATTTCGTTCTGGGGGTAAATCTTTGTGGCTCACAAAATCAACAACCCCATCAATAAGCAATGCTTCAGATGGGTCTATGTCCAGTATCTTGGCGTGGGGTTTTGTGCTTGTGACAAACAC